ACCCAGGATAAGCGAGAATTTTGACTTGAGTTTTGTAACTTTCTGTTTATGTTGTTTGGCCTTCTGTTTTGAGTTTGAATAATCTTAAGGTCCTCAAATACACAAACCAAAAGCAGTTAAAAACATTTTTATACAAGAGAAATTTATACTTCACTTAACTTTTGCAATCCTGGGTAGCATTAACTGGCCTCCAAACAACCTGACCCTGTTTACAACAAGTAAGCCTAACATGAACCCGCGATCCAATCAAAAACCAGTACTTGGTCAGCGGTCAACTTAAAAAAACATATGACCTCGGTGAACTCTAAACTTGAGCCTGCGATATGCTCACTTGAAACTGGTCAGCAGATACCTTGTTTTGACAGGTGTCAATTGACCATTGCATTGTAAATTATGGGATTAGTAACTATTGATCCATATAGTCATAAAGTGCAGACCAAGCTTTACAAAATCCCCAAGTTTGGTATAAATAGACCCAATGGTAAGCAAGATACAGCCGTTTGAAAATGTCAAAATTTACAAAGAAATGTATGGCCATCCGGATGCCGTGTCCGGATTACCAAACATTTCTTTGTTAATTTTGACATTTTTAAATGGTTGTATCTAGCCTGATTAACACCAAACTTGAGGATTTTGGGAATCTTGGTGTGCTCTTTCTGACTATGTGGATCAATAGTTGCTTATCCCATAATTTACAGACTCATACCTAGTCGCTTTTGGTTTGAAATCAGGGAATAACATGGATGTCCAATATCAAAGAGGGACGCTACATACCGAGGGTGCATGTCTCTGTCAACCCATTAGCTGGAGTGTGGCCGTCATCTTGCGCGACTCCTTCGTCGTCGTTCGTATGCGCCCATGAGCAATACCGCCAGCCATGATAACCATGAGAAAATCCATTCATGGGTTTCCTTTTCTTTCCTATATGGGTATGGGACTCCACTTGGCAGCCCTTCGAGCTGCCAGAGCTCCGCTATAAAGGTCAAATCTCTTAGAATACCAGAGTAGAATCTTAGTGGCTCACTGCAAGGCCCTGATGCAAATTTGAACATTTTGTGGTGTCATTTGTTAGCATACCGGTAGGTAATCACATGATTTCGAGTGCAATTTGGGGAAAAAAAACATGAGTAAATTTTCTAAAGGCTAACAAAATACTTGCACAAGCCCATGGGGCTGTGAGTACTTGTTAATGAACTATGCACCTGAAAACATACTATTTTATTGAATTTAAGGTCAACTACTTAACAAATCAAATGTCGTTCTTATTGACAACAATATGTGTCATCTTAGTTGTGAAAATGTTGTGGACTCACGAGGAGCAGCCGAGTGAGTCCACCCAAATGTTGATCATGAATTTTGTCATAACAATCAAAGTAGCTGTGGATTCATGAGGCGATAGCCAAGTAGATACACAAATAAGACAGGACAGACAGATGAGAAACTGATGGCAATTTGTTTTTACAAGAAAAAAGGCATAAATTTTAAATTCATGTGTCTGTCCACTTATTAACGATAAAAATTAGCCAGTGAACACGCAATGATTTCACAGTTATTGTAAAAATGCTTATTATGAGGTCAATTCTCGTCTTGGACAGTAGATGAAATTTATGACCAAGTTAATGCAACAGACTGTCATCCATTATTGATGGTTATTGAGGGCCTCTCACTCTCCCAGGGTTTTAGGAAGCAAGGGAACATAATCATTAAGTTCAATGGAATAAATCTGGGTATAGTTTGGATTAATTTGAGGGACCAAGGGACATCTTTACTACCTATGAGAACTTTGATGAAACATTTTTAGGGAACAAAGGAGCTAATGAATCCCAGGTAACTTGTATCCCTTCTTGAAAGGTCCTCTTTATTAAAAGCCTGCTTCTCAAACTAAAGTACCGTCCTCTGCTAGCAGTGTCACTTAGATCAATTCTAGATAGCATTTCAAGGCAATCTTTCATTTTCTACTTTGTTTTTATTGGTCCTTCAAGCATGGAAAAAGCCTAAAAAAGAGAAAGGTAGTGTCTCTCAAAGTTACTTGTGCATTATCATCCTACAGGTTCTTTATGTTGCCGTTGATGGCATTCGTATTTATAGGTTGACATCAGGGCTATTACTGTCGCTTGCATCTAAGCGTGAACATGTGACGCCAGAACATACTCTAATTGGTTGTAAAACGTGGCATGATTGGTCATCAAACATTTGAGCATGTTTTGGCATCATGTGTTCACGCTTAGATGCAAGCGATGGTACATATTGTCACTGTGTGTTTCAGTAGTTGAATTCATGTCCAGTAAGTGGACAGCCTTGGACAAGAAAGCGTGCACTTTTGAGAGCTATCCACATATGGTTGGTCAAACATGTAGTGTTTGAATGTGGCTGGAACCATGAGTATCCAATAGCATAGGTCTGGCACTAGTTCTTACTTTCCCTTGTATTTTTTTTTTTAGGTGTTAATGATAATAGTTGAATCACAATGGGAGATGAAAGCCCCACCATCATTTGTTCTTCTTTACAAAATCTGAGTGATCCACAAAATGGCATGGATATGGAAGTCATATCTCAAAAATCTTCATGCATCACCCTTGAAGAAATTGCACCAGAGAATAATACCATATCTGATGGAACACAAAACAAACGTGCACATCAAAGGCATTGGATTATGAAGTTAGCAAGACAAGAAAGGCTTTCAGGAGCAGTTACTGGTAAGAAGAATGTAAGACGATATTACAAGCAACTAGAAGAGACCAAAGCCACTTTTGAACAAGTAAACGTGCAGGACTTCGGCAGAACACCAAAATCTAGCTCACAAGATGGTAAAGAGTCACAGGTATCCATTGCTGTCAAGATGAGCATGTTATGCAACATTGGGCTGCTTATTGCTAAAGCAGTTGCCTCTTATCTGTCTGGGTCGATGTCAATCATTTCCAGCTTAGTAGACAGTATAATTGATTTGGTCTCTGGTATAGTTTTGTGGTTTACAACGCGTTCCATTAAAGGTACCAATTACTATGACTACCCTGAAGGAAAAACTCGCTTGGAGCCTATAAGCATTATAGTGTTAGCAGTCATTATGGCAGTGGCTTCAGTACAAATGATAATCACATCTGTAACAAAGATAATTGAACAGTCTGCTGAACCTGATATTTCAATTCCCACTATTGCCATTATTGCCGCAACTATCTTGATTAAAATGATTTTGTTTGTGTACTGTCGGCAAGTGAAGAAACCTTCCACTGATGCGTTAGCTCAAGACCACAGAAATGATGTTTTATCCAACTTCTTTGCTCTTGGGTTTGGTTATGTTGGTTACAAAGTATGGAGTAATGCAGACCCATTAGGTGCCATTTTAATTAGTTTGTACATAGTTGTAGTCTGGTATAAGACAGCCAGAGAGCAAATTCGTGGCTTAACAGGACACACTGCATGCCCAGTCATGTTACAGAAGCTTCTGTGGGTTTGTATGAATCATGACAGCAGAATTCAGTTTATTGACACGTTAAGAGCGTATCATTTCGGCTGTAATATCCTTGTAGAGGCCCATATTGTTTTGCCACCACATATGAATCTCAGAGATGCTCATGATATTGGTGAATCACTTCAAAACAAATTGGAGAGTTTTTCTGATGTTGAAAGGGCATTTGTCCATATTGACTATGATTATGAACATCACCCAAGTATGGAACACAAGATGGGACAGTCTCCAGGTGCAAATACCACTGAACTAGAAGTTTTCTAGAACAAACCTGTGAGTCAAGCTGTGTAAATGTAGGGCGTAGTCATGTGGCAGTAGTCATGTGGGCCCACTTGGACCCACTTTGAGAGAGTCACCAAATGATGTTATCATGTCATAAGATGATTGACGGGTCCACTTTAGGTGCTATTATATCATCAAAGTAAGAGACCCATATATGCCGTAGTCGCTTAAATAAGAGGATTTCGTGGTCAACTGCGTCAAAGACATTTTTTTTTAATCCAAGAAAACAACGGCATTGCTTTAACCGCTGTGAGTGTCGTACGTCTAAGTGTCTGTGGCCTCAAGGAGATACGATATGATACCATACTTTATTTAACGTGGGGTTTACGCTTAGCCAGTAAGCTAGTTTACAGGTAATCCACGGCCCTAGGATATTCTAAAAATTAAAACTAGTTGAGTGAATAGCACGAAACCAAATTGACATTTACAGATGATGTCGTGCTCTTCTGGGTAGGCATATAATTGATCATAAACGATCCTTGGCCACAACTGAGTTCACCGAAATTGGACGATAGTTGTTTAGTTCGTCCCGATTGGCTTGTTTAAAAAGTGGGGTAACCTTGTGCATTTCCAATTATTCGGAAATATACTTTGACTTATTGACTTGCTAACAATAGCACAGATAGGGATAGAATGAATGCAAATGGAAAGAGCACCTCATGATTAGTGATGTGACCAATCTTGCATAGAAGTGAAGGGAGCGTTGATTAAAGAACAGTGACATTTATAATTTTGCAAACCACAGTGATCGTCACAGAGCTCGTGACGTTACGTAAAAACGTCACGAACAAACAGCGCAAAATTTCGAGCTAAAATTTTCAGTCTGGCTCGAATAAAACAGTTGAAAAACCGTTCAAAAAAAAAAATGGTGTAAAACCCAACTTACCACAACGGCTAATTTTGTTATTCCCTTACACATTTCAAAGCCTCTTTACAACCAGTTCATCATAACATGGTCAAAATCCAGCTCTTAAATTTTATTTTCACTTCCGCCGGAAAAAGACGACAGAAAAAGCGGTACTCATCAGTTTAGAGTGTGTCCATGAAAAAACCAGACAGGAGGTGATGCACCGATTTCGCTCAAACTTGGCACAATTGTTGGGTTCGGTGAGAAAATGACTAAGTAAAAGGTAGGTAAAAATATTTTATTCCCTTCAAGTTAGGGGGACCCCCAGCGAAAATGGCCATTCCACACTAATTTATGCATATTTAATTAGCCATCTTTGGTTTAGTATTACTGGATCATGTTCTAAACTATCAGTCTAAAAGCACAGATGTTCATTTCAACTGGGCAATTTTATTTCTCTCCGTGGCTTCATCTTGAGTAAGGCGCATATTTCGTAGTGTTGTGAATAGCCTTACTTGATGGCAAATATCTACAACAAGCAAAACCAAATGATACACATTATTCTAACATGGATAGTGAGAGCAATCAATAAAGTTCTCAAAAAAAGCCATAAAATGTTTGGGGACTTCAATATTTTTTCTTCGCGCCAACATCGCTTTAATTTGCATGATCTAACATACATTTTTCCTTGATAATGGAGTCATGACTACTCCGAAACGTCGGATTTTATCGTTCGTTTTTACCGTTTTAAAGTCCGGTAATACGGGCAACATTTTTCTTCAACTTGTCTCGCAACATTGTTGGATTGCAAGTTGAAACACATTGTTGAGCGTATTACCACGTTAGTGACCAACTTGTTTCGCAGTAAAATACAGTGTTGCAAGTCTGCAGAATTCTACAGTTATGATTGGTCAATCGTGTGTAAATAAAGATGGCGCCTTCTTTAATATAATTTAGCATTTCGACGAAGTTCCACTTCGACTTCTGGCAGTCATTTTCTTAATTTTCCGTGCCAGCGAAGTTCTCTCAGTATGAAGCTCAGTGTCGTTTCAGGTAGCTAGGCGAAAAGTGGTATTTTTGCGACAGTTCTTCCAAGTCTTTTGCCTTTTTTCCTGCTTGTTTTGAAGGG